TCGCTATTATGCATACAATTTAAGATCTATATATTCTTTAGTTTGTCTACATTTAAGATCTTTAACTACAGGCTCGTTACTATTACAGGCTGGTACAGATTTCAAGAGCTTCATGTATTGGGAAGTTCATTAGGTTGGTTACTTTGTATATATTTAAAGATCTCTTGATGCTTTAGTTCGTAAACATTTAAGATCTTGATCGTCAGGCTACTTACTTTGTATAGACTTAAAGCTCTTATATGTATTTATATGTATTGGTAGTGTCTCGATATTATGTATACAATTTAACATTTATCTGTGTATCAGTTCGTATATATATAAGTTCTCTATTAACATGATTCTTCATATATATTTCAAGGTCTACATGTTTTGGAAATGTGACCAAGCTCGATTTTATGTATACAATTGAAGACCTGTATGTATCCTGTATGTATATATCCTTTTTAGTTCATACACATTTTTAGATCTTTATCGACAGGCTCATTACTTTGTACCTACATTTCGGTAGTGGAATGCCTTAATCTGCTACGATCTAAAAATTCATGCAGAAATTGTTTAATTGTTTTCGGTATATTGAGTTTAGTATATTACTATTGTAGAGTTATTTCTCTTTATAGTTTATAAAATTTACTGCTATTACATTTATGTATATATGTGCCATGGGTCTAGTAAATGAGGGTATATGAGGTAAAATGATAGTGTGACCGAATTAGTATATTGTAATATAAAATAATAAAACCGCGGTCCATGAGTTTTTATTACATCCTCGTTTCGTTAAATGCTATATATCGATGGCGAAGGTTTGGGTCTTTCAATTTGCAGGTACTTGTGCAATTTAGCAATTGACATCTGATTCTCACTTTTTAGCTTTAAAATAAGAATAATTGTTAATTATTTCAATATATTAACTTTTTTTAGTTTGCTCGTCAATTTATCTAAAGAGAGAATTCTTCTAATGTGGCTCCTCTCTTACCCACTGACTACGTTTATGAAATGTGTAGATCATTTGTATCAGGTAAACTATTAGAGTAGCTGCATTTTCTGTCAAAAAAAATTGTTGTACTAGCATCGTCTGTGAGATAAAAGAAATTATTGTTTCGTTATGTTTAATAAATAAAATAAAACTCTTCTTTATAAGCAAATTATTAGATCTAAACTATTTTATGGCTGTTTTATTTAGTGCAATACTGCTACATCCACCATTAGAAAACTTCAAGCTTATCAGAATATTGTACTGAGACGTATGCTAAAAGCTCCTAGGCAAAACCTTCCCAGTAAAGTGATAGTGTACCAACCTGTCTTTCAAATAAAAAAATAAAATAAAAAATAGAAAAATAATTTTATAATTAATTAATTGTTAAATATAAATTCATATAATTTTTGCAGTTATATACTTTGACGACTTAATGTAAAAAATTTGAACAAAAAATATTCTTGACCTTTTCAAAGAATGTCAACTTAAATTAGGATTTTATGAATTTTTATAAAATTTTAATTTGGGATGCAAAATGACAAGTGCATTTGGCAAATTAATATGCAAGAAATATAACAATTTTTTTTTCAATTATTTAAGTATATTTTGTATAAATTTAAAATATAAAATAAAGAAAAAACAATTGAATGTAAGCAGATAAAACTCAAGTGAATTTAGATGAATGGGCGTATCTGTGTGACGGACTTCACATCGACCGCCTACGGGTTCGCTGTGTTACTTAAATATAATAAATAAAATATTAATGAGAAAAAAAATTGAATTTTTATTTCATTAAAATTAAAAAAATATTATTAAAAGTTGTATATTTAATTATTATTCAATTATGTGGCTTAAATTAATTTTATTTATTGAATATTATATGAAGCCTATTAACATCTCCTTTCCGTCGTAGTTGGCTTCATTAATTTTGTGGCTTTTGTGGATTGAAACCTCACACTGCGGCTTTCAATGCCTTTTATCTACTCTCGAAACCAAAAAAAAAAGTTTTTGAATTAATTGCAGGATTTCAGTATATTATTTAAATTAAATTTAAAATTGTTAATAAAAGTTTCAATTTTAATTCACTATAGAGATTATTTGTGGTTTATCTTGTGCATAATTAATCCCAGACTTTATGTACATGACTCTTAATAGAAATCGCAAAATAGCCGTTGGCCAATTTTTACAACACTTACCGTGTCAGTTTATATGTCAGTTTATATATATACAAATAATGCTATAGCATCTACTTATTTCATAAAAAATATTAATTTTTTTATTGTATGAATTTATTATTCAATAAACTTTATCAGTCTCCAAAAATCATTGAATAAATTTTTCAAACTCTGCTAAAAATAACGCTGTTTGCTTTAGAAACCCTATAAAGAATAGTTTCACTCACGGGTTTAATCAAAAAAATACAGGAGCAAAAAATCTACTGAAATCCAAATTTTTCCACTTCTGATTTTTCTGTTTTTTTTTCTAGTCATAAGTTAAAATGTATCTTTTTAGTCTGCATAGAAAAAATATTTTTCTCTGGATTTGGCATTATATTTCGTTCTGTCTAATGAAATTTAATTTTGTGTTATTTTTTTATCAACACATTTCTTCTATTCCAACTGTTCAGATGGAATAGTAGACTTATTTTTTTTTATTTTATATAAAAAAATTTCAATTTTTTGTAAAATTTTTAATAGTATTTATATACAAGAATTTTAAAATACTATATATATGTTCTATATCAATAATATGGATAATAGGAATTGTTATATATTAAAGTTAGTTTAAAATATATAGG